ACTTCAAATAAGTTAAATAAACTCTTACAACAATGACTCAAGGGGTCAGCGTAGGTGTTGTTCAACAATGCTGTGGAAGTTTAGTTTGTGCAGTTTGTGATGAAACCTTGGCAGACCTCGGTCTCCTGAGATGAACTATTTATCATCAGTGTATCATTGTCATATATACTTTTGGATTAACTTTGGCCCCTTTAAGAGCTGAACTTAAAAACAGCCTCAGTGACCAAGAGCTGTCTCAAATTCTCCTGCTGATAATGAGTGTAACAACCAGTGATTTTTGTTTTCAGGATTACGGCCAATTCAATTATTGGAGGACATTACAACGGCAGATGCCAGATCAGATATGGCTTTCAACGCTTGGAAATTATATAACTGATATAATATATAATAGAATCATGCAGATCCTATACAAATAAAGTGCCAGACACATCTTCACATTCAAGCCATTTTCTCACAGTTAAACTATTTTGCTGTAGGAATCCTCTGTTTACACTAATGTTTAGTGCTGTTCGTGTCTGTCAGCAGTATTACTGAGGAACGCCAGATCAAACATTTTCAAATAGCCTGTTGAGTTTTGTCATTCGAAAACATTATCCACAATTTATTCTTGGTATTCTGGCAGTCTATGTGCTGTTTTGTAAGATATTGAGTTGTGGTTGAGTTTGTGGTGTCTCTTCTTTTGTGTGTAACCCAAACGTCCGAATGTTGCTTTCATTTTCACCAAATGAAAACCAGGATGCAGGATGTGAGTTTTTATAGAAGAACATACACATTTGCAGTAAAAGCACCACATATTGGCCTTGTACTCTTTCAAGTGCTGACCCTTGTTAGCCAAAATATTTTAATTCTTTGTGCAGCAGCTTCAAGTACGAGACAGCCTGAAGTTCTAATCTACCAGTATTGTTTCGCCAGATTGCTCTTTTGACATTTTGTGGCAAACTCTTTCCAAATTGATTGTTTAAAGTCTCGGTTCACTGAGCGTGTGATACATCTGCACCTTTATGACCAATCAAACAGCTTCTCACATACCATCTGACACCTTTGTGCCTCTTTTACTGCGGCCATTGTTTTTGTCACTGCAATTTTCCGTATCCCTATATTATGGTTACACCTTCTCCAAATAAATTCACCTCTGCTGTTATGGAGGGTAAATAAAGTGACACCACAGAAGTGGCGGTGTGTATGTCAATATGCATACGTGGAGCAGTGTTTGACGTTTTCTGTTACAAGCTGATTTGACTGTTTGTATCCTGTCACTTTTAGTGGTCGTCTAGGCTTTTGCCTTAATTGTTTTTAGAGGTTAGTTTAAATGTATATTTTGAAAAGCAAGTTTCCCTTCTCGCTGTTAATGTAGAGTTGAATGTGTCTGAAGGAGAAAAGATACAGATGGATAGTTAGGTTTATGGGGTTGAGTTGTAGTTGGTGTGCTGGGTGAGGAGAGTGAGTCACAGCTCACACACTGTGTGTGTGGCCTTATAGTAACTTGGTTGATGAGGTGCTTCTGCTTGCACTTCAGTGGAGAGAGGTAATACAGCCCAATCACAGGCACAGGCTTGTTGTATCTCTTCTGCTTAACCTGCAGATATTCAGTTTTTCAATGGTTTTGTATTTATCTGCTGTCTTCAGTTACACATTTTGAACTTGGACCACTTGTGTATTTTAATGTCCACTGTGATATCAGAGGGAGGTGCTCCTCCTGAATTATTAAGAGAGATAACACTTTCTGCAGTTGTACAGCAGCAGGTTTTAACAGCAGCTTATGTTATTCTTTTAAATGTTTTGTAATCGGTACCACCATGTTACTGTGCCTGAGGCTGCAAGAGATGATGGGACATGTCTGTATGGAAGGATAGATGCTGATGCAATTATATATGAAGGGTGGCTAATCAGGTTTGATGCCAGTGAGGGAAAGAATAGCACAAACCTCTGTAATAGTAGACAATTACAATCCTGCTTTTTACTGGCAGAATTTGAAGCAGTCTGTTAATTCTTTAACTCATTCTTCACATAACTACTTATACTACTGTACTCTTCAACAGCTCAACAAAAAAACAAAAAAGGAAAAGGAGTGTTTACCTTTATCAATATTTATTAGTTCCTGTGTAACCTTACAAGTTACTGTAATTGAGAACTTTTAAACTATAACAAACAATGTAACTGCATAACTGTACATCCCTCAGATTGGAGCCTTAATGTTCCATTTGCATGTCAGCTGAAATCCAACATAGCTGACATGCAAATGACAGCAAATACATACAAATACATATTGCAAAGGACATGCTGTCCTTTGCAATATGTATCCAGTGGGATCGTGCATCTTTGAATTCTTGGAGTTACATAACTACTTCTCTACATGGCAGAAAATGTAAGAGGAAAATTAAGATTGTGATAGTTTAAATTCCAATATAGGTACGGTACGTACGGTTAACCAGTGTTAAAAAGCTTTTATTGTATGGAGTACGGCCTACGTGAGACCAGAATAAAAACTGCACGCTTAACAGGTGCAAGATTTAGATTTTAAAAAAACAACAAACATAAAGAAAAGATATAGCACTATTAACATGTAAAGACTCAGTTATTGAGGAGCATCTTGTTAAAACAAGAACAACAACAAGAACAGTTAACCACCAAATGCAAATGCATTGCTTAATAAAAGTAGTTCTGACAGATTTTTTTTGTCAGTGGTTCACTTTTAAATCTTGCGAGACAAGACTGGAACTCATTATATCTCCAACAAAGCAAAACAGAGCCAAAGATAAACAGTCAGATGTCTGTCTGTCAGATGAATAGAAAGAAAAGGAGGAGTATATGTAACAAAAAACACATAGCTTCTCTACAATTGACACCATTCACCTTATCGTCTGCTCAGCAAGTTCTAAAAAAGGTGTCAATGACTGACCATTGCAGACAGATTTTGACCAGGTTTTTTTTTTTAGGCAGAAGCCTGTTTCCCTGGTTTTACTCTAAATGGACCATACAGCATCTGTAACCTGTCTAAGAGTCTGAGCCCGGTATGCCAGACCCTGTTCATCCACCTGTGGAACAGATTGTTCAGCAATGAGGAATGCTGGTGTGTGGAAAAGTTCTACTGATGTACATTGTTGGTCTGCATACCAGAAGAGATGGAAAAAGATGAAGATTGTGGACAAGAAGAAAACTGAACTCCACATTTTTACCATCTTCCACCACAACAATTTTTGATCCAATCTATTGAAAATACATAACACGTTGATTGTGGGATAGTTACATGAGTGGTCTTCTATTCAATTAGATTGTAGCCAAATAAAAACGTCAGTTGTGGGTTGAAGACGATCTGGCAGTCACACAATATTTCCAGCGGACACTTTCCTGTGTTGCTATAAGTTCAGCTCAGTGTAGTTAAGTTTCTTAAATTTTGGCAAAATGAAACAAATTTAATGCATTTTAATTATGAGGCTGCAATTTCTTGGCCAATCTATTAATTATTATATATAAATATCTAGTGAGGTATATTTTGGCATATATATTAAATCATTATTTTTGTTGGGCAGCACTTCTGTTATTACTGGATTAGGGAGAGGAAAGGTTGGAGTAGTGCTGAAAGTTCACTTGTTCAGATTCATTTTCTCTCAAACATTCTCTGTTTTTCCGATTGTTAAATGTGGTGGTGTGCTACTTTTCTGTTTTAAATCATTGCAAATGAAATATCTTTGGGTTTTGAACTGTTGGTTTAGACATACTTCAGTTATCTGTGGTCAGGGCTCTTGGGAGAGCCATGTGCATCAGCTGTAAAAGATGACAAACCCAGCCCCTCATCACAGAGAGTAAAATAGGCCCTGAATTGAAGCTTCCATTGATCAAAAACTTTAGACCAGATACCATCAGAAATGCATGGGGAAATCTGCATTTATTATTTCCATTCCTTTACAAAAGTACCTTATTTAAGCATTGAGAGCGTCAGCCCACCCCCACCCGATTTCATCACTCTGACTTCATCACTCTCTTTGTCATTGTAAACTGACTACTGCCTCTTTTGTTTGAGCGCAGAGAAGCCTCCCTATTGATACTGCAGTTTATTTTTCAAGCTAGTTGATAACAGCCATATGGGTTAGTTTATAAATGGGTTGCTCTGTTCTTGTATTCACCATGTAGCTCAAATGCAGACCCACTCTCTGTCTGCAAACTCATTGTCCTGTATATCACTGTTAAGCACTCCACACAGAAAACATCTAGAAGTAAAAGTGATTTTTCTCACAACAGGAAATGTTCAGTACAGGAGAATGACTTCTTGAAAATATAATCAAATGTGTCCAAAATAAACCACATTTATTTTTAAAGGTCTGTTTGAATTTCTATTCCAAAATGCCAAATATACAGTACCTCTTATCTAAATAGCATAGCAAGTCTTTTCGAGTATAATCACCTGCTATTATGTCAAGAATGCAATAATTTGTTTCAACTGTGTGGCACACATAATTTGAGCAAACTACCCTGCAGCTAGCCCATTGTTTCCTCCCAACATGCCATACAAATACAAAAATTCTGTAGGAATGCTTTGAGAATATTACCTAGCCTAAGGAGACGAGTACAGGTCTGATCAGTGCTATTGTAACCCGATGAGCCCCAGGCTAAGCTTCAACAGTTTCTGAAGGGATGGAGGAGATGATCAGTTCCCTGTTAGGTCTGACTCTAAACCCACATTATCCGTTTAACACACAACAATTTTGATCAGATCCTCTGAAGGTAACTATCATAATCTATGGGGACAGAACATATAAAAATATCCAAGGGCTGCATGTGAAAGTTTACCTAGTTCAATACTTTCTCACCTGGTTATCGGAGGTTTTCCTTTGAAGCTGCACATTTAAATCTATTCCATATATTAAAAACATCTTCCCTGTATCTGTAAATTGGTTTAACATAATGCAAAACATGTTAAACTACTTTGTTGCTTTAGCATTTTACCGTAGTAAGTTCCTGTAGATTCACGCAGTGTAGGTGAAAGTAAAATAGTCCTCTACCTCTGCAGAAGCTCTCCACTGACGTAGGACTCCAGAGGATCACTGAAACATATTCCAGTTTGTGTCCGCAAGATGCCAGGGTGAAAAAGAACAAAATTCTGTGTCAATTATCCCAAACAGTCTTTTCTGAGTCTTGCACTTGTTTGAAAACTGTTCAGAAAGTAAGTGAGAAGTATCCCAGAGGCTGCAGGCTCTGTCTGACTGCAAGTACTGCAGGTCCTAGTGCCTGCCCTTCTGTAAGACACCAAGGTCTGATAATTCAGTTGGTTATTGTTGTAGTTCTTGTTCAGAGTTTAAAGTTTCCATGGTATAAACTAGTACTACTGCCGCTACTGTTATTACAGTTACTACATCGGCTACACTAGAATAAATAAAGAGTTATTTGATATGGAGTTACTGCGAATACATCAATACTGCTTTTGGCACATTTTACTGTGTATTGGTAACTAGTGTTTATGTTATTTCACAAACTTACACTCAATCCATCCACTATTTCATGCCATGCTAGCATGCATGTATGGCTCTAGGCATGGCCATTTCTGCAAGTTGGTCCTCCACAGACTGAAATATCTCAACTACTGGATTAATTGCCATGAAATGTGGGTATCACTGCTGCCCAGAGTACTAATCCTGATGATCCCATGACTTTTTCATCTACAACTGCTAGAAGGTCAAAGTTGTCACTTAACCAGTGAAATATCTCTAACTCTACAAGATTAATTGGCATAAATTTTGTACACACATTCATTGTTCCCAGAAGATTAATCTAATGACTTTGGATATCCCCTGACTTTTTGTAGCTGCAACATGAGGTTCACATTTGTTGTTCAACTATTGGATGAATTGCTGTGGAATTTAGTACAGATATTCATATTACAATCAGGATGCATCATAATCAATTCAGAGATCCCTTAACGTTTGATCTAGCCCTATCAATACATTTTTTTATTTGTCCAACACTTTGGCTTATGACCAAATAGGTGCAAAACAAATGGCATTCACATCAGTCTCAGATGTACTTTGTGTTCAGAGTTAATTAACACATTTTAAATTGTTAAACTGAGATGGTAATTGTGTAAAAACATACTTGCTAAACATGTAGGCATGTTAGCATTTAGCTCAGAGCACAAGTGCAGCCTCACATAGCGGCTGGACTCTTAGGCTGGTTATTATATATGGTCCTTGCAGTGTGATGCACCCCTTGATACAGTTAATACTCTTTTCCATTAGTGCTCCATTTTCTATGTCTGCACAGATGTACCTTTCTGTACAGACCTTTTCTCCACAGACCTTTCTATTGCTTAGAACCTCATAACAGTAACTAGCAAGTTATACCTTGTCTTTGTGAAAAACATTTTTTTTTACATTCAAAGCTTCTTTTGAGGTTTTTGAATGAAGTTTTGAATGTCTGTCTTCAGACATGACTGAGAGGGCAGAGGAGAGAGACGGAGACAGCGATGTTACCTGGTTGCTACGGTTTTATAGAGTCCCGACCTCTCACCCTTAGCACTGCAGAATGAATAGACATGAGCAGTGTTCAAATGTTGATTTAGAATTCAAATGTCAACTTTATGAATGAAGCCTTGTATTATTTGGTACAGGCCTAGAAATTGTTTCACCCTTTCCAGATTCAATGCAGTTACTGCATCTCCTGTGCTTTCTTCTGTTTAATTCAAACACACTTAGAACTGAAATAAACAGAATAAAACATTGCTAGTGTTTACTTTATTATCCAGCTGTGGAAGCACAACATTGGCCTTTTATCAGGTTTTTTACTTGCAGAAGAGCCATATTCAGATTATGATGTAACACAATGCCCAAAAAGAATGCTTTCTGTCTCCTTAGGATTTCCCAAGTATTGTTATCTCAGATGTTTAGCCCATTTTGATTTGGGTTTCTTCTTGTCAAAGTGCCAACACATGTTTCACAGAGACAGATGTTCATGAGATCACCTTCTTTGAGCAATTAATTTCACAGATCAGAATGCTTCTAAGGGCTTTTCCGTACATATGTACTCATTTGGCTGATATTAATTTCAGTACTGTTGAACTTCTGAACTTCAACACTGGAATAGAGAATGCCCCCCCCCCCCCCCCCCCCCATCATCCTAAAAAGAGAGATGCAAAACATCTTGCCAACCAGGAATTTGAGAATGAATTCATTCATTCATTTGTAGCCACCCAGATGTTTAATTGGTGAAATTGTTCAACTTTTTATAAACGGATGTAATGGTCAACACCATCTCTTACCCAGGATAGAGTTACAGGGTGTATAGGTGTTTGGCGCACTGAGAGTGTGTGTGAGTGAATAGTGCTAATGTTTCAATAACAGATTTGAGCTCAGAGGTGCGACAGCATAAACTAATCCAGGTGTGGAACAGGTTTAGATGTGGCTTTGAGTGTGTTCATATGGACCTGTGTGTCTTTTTTCTCATGTCTCACCCCCACAACAAGTTTGAGGTCATTGGATAGTCTGTGTTTTGGGTTTTTTTTACCCTCTCGTCATAAACTAGATAATGGTTGAGATTTTAAATAAGAGAAAATAAGGACTTCAGTGTGTTCGTATTTATGTCACTACCAGCCTCGCACATCTGGATCCTAATAACACCATATGGGATCAAGATCTGCTTACCATATTACACAAGGATTATACTGGGTCTTTGATTGTTGCTCTGAACTCTTCATGGTGTGGCTGGTATTTTTAAGAGTGGTCATGGTCATGTTTTGAAAAGCTGCCCTCTGGTTTTCCGATCTTTATTCAGCTATAGGAGCAGGTAATTTATGAACATTACAGTTAGACTGTTTGTCTTTGGAGAATCTGTATGACCAGACACCAATGAGAGACAAGTTACATCAGTGACTTCTTCCTGCTTTGGCACTACAGGGCTTTGGGGATTTGTAACCTGGACTCCCACTGATCTCCTGTAAAACTCATTTGCAGGAGCCCATTTAGTCACTTAGGCCAGACCAGACTCTTCTGCTGTTCATCACAGATTTTGGACATCTTTGACATGGCCAGGAATAAAAGTAACAGAGGAGGAAACACCTGGTTGTTTTAGGAGACAGATAGCATTTGGTCAATGTTTCCATTGTTCAGATGGGAAATCGTAGCTAACGGACACTTTTTATATGCTGTATTTAACCAGACAAATTGCTTGATGGAAGGAAAATACAGGGAAGGTCATTTTATTGTTTATTTTGGTATTGTAGCATTCGCACAAAAGAGTTTTGAAATTTAATTTGGCAGTAGCACGCAGCCATGGGCCATCATTGACCATGGGAAACTATGTGTTCGCATTTTACTGGGTTATATGAGCCTTTCTTATTCCAGTAACTGTGCTGTTGACTGAAGGTCATAATGGGATATACTGTACATACTCTATCTTATAATCATTGTAATTTGAGCATCCAGATCTGTATCATATATAATGGGATACCGGCCTGCAATGCAATGAAACACTGTCTTATTAAAGGGATAAGCTATTCAATGTGTGCACAGTAGATGACAGGAAGAGCGTTATGGCTCATGTTTACAGTAGCTCCAGTGGGGAGATGATGGAGGATTTCTGGCAGGCAAAAAGGAAGCTACCTTTCTCTGATTTCAACCTCTATTCTGATAGTAAAATTGAAATCAAGGGGAATATATAACTTGCACAACGTGAGAAAATCTAGATTGCTGACAATCCCAATAGGGAGCCAAATAGCCTAAAAAATAAATGCAACATCACTCCTTTTACAGTGCTCCTTTGTGATAGACCAATTCTTGGTAAAGAAATAAAAACCAAAAATGGAGAAAAAAATAATGTACCGATACATTAGTGGTGTTAAACTAACATGTCCCTTCCAAAACTAAACCCAAGTTTTTGCTTTAATACAGTGTGAATTACCAGTGACATGAATGGTATTTCATGGAGGACCACAGATCAGTTCATCTGTTTGTAAAGCAACACTGTAACTCTCAGTTTCTCTGAAGAAAGAAAATGTTTGCGCTGTGGTGATCCACATCTGGCCTTCATCAGCCACATCAACTCAGAACCGGTGTTTGAAAAGACAGCTGACTTCGTGGAACTGAGCAGGAAGTAAGGGCTTAATCTTCATTCTATGAAACATTCAGATTTGATTACCACAAAGACACAGCAGTGCAACATGTAACGCAGGTCATCTTTCTCAGCCAGCTTTAGCTCTCCTGGTCAACAATGGTTGTTTTATACTGTACATTATTTAGGATGCTGGTTGCAAACACCCGGAATGAGGTCATATTCAGATAAACATATTATTATAGTATTTTCTCTCACTTATAAAAAATAACAGCATACTGTGTTAAACATAAAACAGTAAAATTGCCAGTGTTGAACTGTAGATAAATTCAGTGTTTACTCAGGCCATAAGTTTCAACATGCTCTGGTGTCCTTGGTGTAAAATTTGTAACTTTTAAGAAGAAGACTCATCAGTGAACACCCTAGATACAATTACAATACAGGGTTTCCACTTTTTTTTTTAAAGTTTCAAAAAACATTTTGAACTGGGATTGAATTAAATATTGGATCTGTGGTCACCTGTCTGAATTCTTAGTGTATAAGTGCAACAGGCAGTGCCCTATACTCCAGCAGGTATGTCCCTAAATGTTTGCTGACTTTGGCTGGGGCTGGAGACAAAGTCTATTTGGCTGTTTGGATTTCAGATAAGCTTTTGTGCACTCCTCAACTGATTTCTGGTTCTCTTTGTACTCAACTTGGTGAAATCTCGTAAAATATGTTTGCTGCATTACACCCAATTGCTATTATCTTATTCATACAAGCCTTAAATGTTGTCATGGTTTGTTATAGACACAACATTTTATATCCAAACCTCTTTCACACAATCCAGGTCTCTACATTGTTTGGAAAATAACAGTAATGTCACTTTATGTTATCTAGTCATAACATATAGTGAACAAAATTATAAATTTATATTCTGTAAATAGCATCATAGAGTACGGTCTAGACCTGCTCGTTTATGAAAAGCGCTGTGAGATAACTGTTGTTGTGATTTGGCGCTATATAAATAAAACTGAATTGAATTGAATAAACGCAACACTTTTGTTTTTACCCCCATTCATCATGAGCTAATCTCAAAGATCTAAGACTTTCTCTATGTACACAAAAGACCTATTTCTCTCAAA